TTTTTCTTTTTTTCCGGGTGGCAACACAGGAACTTTTGCATCTTGTTCAGATTGGATTTACTTGCAAATGACAGATACAATTATTCGAAATCTGAATCTACATTAAAGTGAGTGAATACAGCTGAATCTGAGGGGCATTATAGCAGGTACTTGTTGGCCGGTCCCGCTCTGTGATCTTTCCAATGGCAACTGGAGCTAGGTAGAAGTAGTGTATCACCTTTGCATAGGAGTGAATTATATAAGTGCCATGTGAAGTGTCCTTGAAGAGTCCAAAAAGCACTATATTAAACCGATGCAATTTTTTAGTAGTATTATTTCCAAGTGTGACCATCAAATTACACCCAGCGATCTCGTAACGTAAAGTCGGCCTAATGTCGGTAGAAAAAGCTTTAGGCGCCTCATTCTACTCCTTGTTTCCTGTCTAGCCCCATATTGCACAACGTATGACCGGAAAAATAAGCGCATTCATAGTCAGCAGGTAGTGTGCTGGTGTACATTTTCCAAGGATTTTTGCATTAGACAGCAGGTGTAAAGTCTACATCTTTTTGCACAAAGGGATCCGGGCTTATAAATGTCAACGAAGAGAAAACTCCAACAATATTTAAAAACTCCAAGTGCTTGTTTCTTGCATGATCCCTGGAATCCCGTTGTTCTTCTTCTTATATGTTTCTGTTTATATTTTTCGTCTAAGTGATCAGAATAAATGTGTAACTCATGTTGATTGCATATCTTTAGAAATGAATGTGGTAATGGCAGGCCTTAAACCACAAACTGTAAACACAATCCTGATAACAAATACATCAAAACAACATGGATCTCTGCAACTATAATTCATTCTTCTTTCAGAGAAGACTGCTTCCTCCACAGGTACTGAGTTCGTTTGTGCTAAGACTCCAGGGCTTTAGTTTAAGGACCAGGTTTATTTTCATTTCATTTTTTAAAGTAACTGGTCTCCAAGTTTTGAATACTGCATGTTAAAAATGTTTAGTATCAAATGTTGCTATGTAGAATATGTCATAATCATTGCAGACTTTATTGTTTTTCTAAACATGTTTCTGTTTCTCCTCTTTGTCTTTCTACTGCCTACTTCTGACGTTTTCCATGTGATTCTCCTTTTAAGGGTGAAAACTGATATCCATCTTTTTTCATATAAACGGCCATAAGCATTTTTTGGATTACTGTAGTAATCAAAACAATGTTGGTCACTGATGTAGCATTATTTGGCCGTTGTATACAGAACATGACCTCATCGGATATTTGCTATGACGTGTAACGCTGGACCAAACACCTCTCACTCTCTTTCATAAGAGCGTAAGAAACATAGAGTTTTCTTACGCTCTTATGTTTTCTACCGCGTGTCTCATAGTGAACTACACGTTTAAACTAGTCATATACTTTCATGGTTACCTTTTGTTACATAAGTGTAGACCAGAGTTCCAGTTAGAAATAGGAAGACTGTGTGTTGGGGAAAGAATACATATTGGCTCATCGCTGCCAGATTTATTTTTAACGAACTTTTCATCCATATATGAAAATCACTTTGGTCACTTAACTTTATCTACTTGCTTATTATCCGGCACTATTTAACTGTACAAGCTACTACAGGACTACACTACATATTATATATTGTTGACTGGGATTGAAGCATTTTCAGCTGCTACAGTATTTATGTTAGCTAAGAAACATAGCTGCTACATATTTGTATACTTTTGTGTTTGCTCCCTGTGTGCGCTTACTACTGTACTATATGCTGCAAACATCCGAAATTTCCCACTGTGGGGACGAATAAAGGAGATTTCTTAGCTTTTCTTATCCTTATAAGATTTTTTTTTCTGTTGATGCAACTGCTGAAAACATCTGAAACATAACATATAACATGGCCCTTTATCTTAATCACAAAAGAAGGAAAAGATAGATAATTTAATGTGACAGGAATGTGGTTTGGGGTGGACTAACAAGTCCTCCTGGGAAGAACAAGAGAACACGCTGAAGTCTGGTTTTTTATAAGGATTTTCAGAGGGCAGACATAAATAAGGCACGCAGCTTACCCAATCTATAGTCTGTGTGAATGTAATACTAGATTACAGTATAGGGAAAACAACTGCAGAAGACACATATATATGTCATTTATCTTAAGCTTTATGTACCCAGGAACTTACATATTCTCACATATGGTTAATAAATCAGTTTAAGTGTTGGGTTGAAATGGATAACATAGCAGTAATTTCAGATAGCCCTTAAGACTATCAATCATATAACTGATATCCTGCTAACAAAGTCCATTTGTCTGCATAAACTATACAGGGTGTGGTGTGGGCTATCTATCTACAAATTTATTAGTAAATGAGGGAGTAATTCATTTGACGAACATTTGCATTTGTTTCTGTCATCTCCTCATTTGCTCAAATCTATGGGAAGGTGGACAGGCCCGATGTGAACAAATTGGCTTTCACATTGAGATATGGCAGATGCGCACTCTTTCTCCTATTACAAATAGTTGTGTGTTTATGTTCTTTTTGTATGTGGTTGTGATGTTACATACCAAAAACTGACAGATCAATCCGCAATGTTACATAATTGTGATCCACGACTTTACAACGAGTTGAATCTGACTGGGATGCTATAACTGCCTTCCACATAAAGGCAAAGCCAGTATTTTCTAACAGAAGAAATATCAATACAATGCCGCTGATAAAGCCTCTTTCATTCGTGCAATGGGAGAGTTGTTATCGAAAGAATGTTTTTTCTTACATTAGGCTCCTTTACATTTGCATTGTGTCATACGGTTGGTCCCGATCATACAAAATGTCTGTTAAACAATATTGCAACCACTGTCACTGTCGTTGCTGGGTAACACCACTGTGAACAGTATTGTTGGTTTAATTGTTATAATCAACAATGACCTTTTCTCAGTATCTGCCAAAATAGACCAATGTGTTCATCCAGTCATGTTACCTCAGGCTATCTCCCTCAGACTTTACTACAAACCTCATGACCATAAGTGAGGGGTGGAAACGTAGATTATCGGTGAAAGATCTTTCTTCACCAGCCTGGATGCCAGGCCTGGAGTTGGTGCTTGGTTGTGAGTGCCTGTTGCTGGGCTTTGCCCACTTGGTCCTGGTCCCGAGCTAGACCAGGAAGACATGACTGAGTTCGCCAGTCCCCCTGCCCTCTTTTGTCACTCTTTAAAAAAATATATATACAAAAAATATATAGCTCACACACTACAATTGTATCAATAAACGTTGGTCCTCTCTGCCATGCAAAGCATCATCAAGGATTGGTGGGCCACTGAGCCCTCAGAATGAGGGCTGATTAAGGCTCATTAACATTTTCAGCCACTATAAGCTCTAAGTTTGGTTAGTGGATACTCACATGTTACTTATAAATCCTTTAAACGTATAAAGGAAAATATGTTTGCTAATTCTTTCAAAATTAACGATTTCTATTATACTGTCTAGTCAGAACTTAATTAATTCCCTTTCAGTTCATGCATTGTAAATATACTTTATTCTTGTTCGTATATTTTTACAAGCTTGGAACTGAAAGGGAATGAAATAATGTTTCTGCCTCAGGGCAGTATAAAGATACGTTAATTTTGGAAAGAATTAGCTTACATAAATTCTTTATCCGGGATAAAGGATAGTATAACGTATACATGTGAGTTTCACTACCCAAACCTGAGAAGCTTATCAGTGGCTGAAAATGTAATGAGGCCTTAATCAGCCCTTTCTGTGGCTCAGTGGCCCACGCAACTTGATGATGCGTTGCATGGCAGAGAGACCATCGTTACTTGTACAAGTGTTTGTGTGTGTATTTATTTTTGTATAATATTTTTTTTTAAAGATGCAAAGAGGGCAGCAGTGAGGGCGAACTAAGTCCATGTCTTCTGGACTCAGCTCGGACAGGCCAGTGGCATAGACCCGCAACCAGCACTCACACACAAGCACCAACTCCAGGCCTGCATCCCGCTGGTGAAGAAGCTTCTTTACCGTTACATCTACGTTCCCACCCTCACTTTTGGTCTTGAGGTTTGTGTAAAAGCTGAGAGATACTGAGGTAACTTGACTGGATGAACACATGGTCTAATGTGCAGATACTGATAAAAGGTCATTGTTGATAAACAAAGTAACAACAATACTGTTACAACAGTGTGTACCTAGCAACGACTGTGACAGTGTGCAATTTTGTTTAACTGACATTTAGTATGATGGGACCAACCGAAGTGACACAATGCAAATGTTAAAGGAGCCATGTAAGAAACATACTTTCGATAACAACTTCATAGCACGAATGAAAGATGCATATCCAGATTGCATTGTATTGAATTTCTTTCGTTGGAGGAGGGGGGGGGGGGGGTGGGGAGAAAGGGGGGAGAGAAAATAATTGCTTTGCCTATGATGTGGAAGCAGCTATAGCGATCCATATCAGATGCCACGTGTAAAGTGTGGATCAAATTATGTATCCATGTGCTGATCTGATCTGTCCATTTTTTGGTAAGTTACATCAACACACATACAAAAGAGACATAACAACAAATATGGTAATATGGAAAGGAATGCCGCATCGCCTATATCTAAATGTGAAAAGCAATTTGTCACTCGGGCTGTCCACCTCCCATTGATTTGAGCAAATGATCTGAGACAGAAACAAATTGCAAATGTTCGTCAATGAATCAATCCCCCATATTCTTATAGATTTGTTGATAGATAGACCACACACACCCTGATTGTTTATTGCAGACAAATGGACTTGTCTAGCATGTATATCAGTTATATATTGGTTAGCTCTTTAAAAGGGGCTCATCTATACTGCTATGTTGCCATTTCAACCAAACATTAACCTGATTTATTAACAATATGTGAGAATATGTATGTACCTGGTTAGGAATAAACTTAATTAAAATAGAAATATAAATGTGTTCAGTCAGTCTGTTCCCTAGTACTGAATCTAGTAATTTTCATTCCACACAGACTTAGATTGGGTAAGCCTGAGGCTCG